GTATCCATTCCGGAGCTCTGAAACATTCTCTTGCTTTTACGACCTAAACGTAAATATTATTTGAAATCAACAGTAGTATGTAAAAGTTCTGGGAACAATCGAAAAAGTACAAGGGGACGACGGGTTTTTTTCACGCGTTTTCCGATTTCACAAGTATGAAATTAGTTTTCGGACGGACAATGTACAAAACCTTGATAGCCATCGCTCTAAATATTCAGACTTGCTAGTCTAAATTCAATTTCAGACAACGGGTCCCGACTGTTCCAGACCGTTGGTCTTAATATTCGTACCAGTTATGACCGTCACGATCAGACCGTCCAAGTAAGACGAAATCAGTCCCGAATTTCCCGACCGTTCCTCAACCGTGACACGCGCGTCGCGTCGCGGCGCGGCACGCGGACCGTCCCGACCGTTCCGACCCGGACGGCGGAAAGAAATAAAGACAGAGACGGAGGAGGGCGATGGAGTAAATAAGTAAACGGCAAAAGTTTCTCTCGAAGCGTCAAGCGGCTGCTTTGGGTCGTCAGGGAGGCGGCCGCCGCGTCCGGTCCTCGCTGCATAAATGAAAAAGCACTTGCGAGGCCTCAAAAGCTCCCCTCTTTATACACATTTTACACTTTCTCCCGAAAATAAACACAAATTAAACTTGAAGCGCTTTTTTTTTTTCGCCAAGGTGTAGCGCTGTGATGGCCGCTTTGTGGCGGCTAAAGCTGGAAGAGAGATTTTCTTTTTAAGTGAGGGAAACGTTTTTGGAGCGACGGCCCCGGTCGCTGGGTCCTTGAGTGTTCTCCACACAAGTGCAACGCGTCCTGTCCCTGCGTCGCGGCCGTGTGTACACGGTAAAAACGGTATCTGGTTTTCCCAGGAGCCCTATGGCGAAGACATAAGCGATTTCCAGTGGGTTCCTGGGAAAACCAGGAACCGTTTTTACACCGTGTACGTCGCTGGGCCAGCAGACTCCGAGAGTCCTTTCCGTCGCTCTGTCTCTCTCGCACTCGGTGGCGCGTCCCGTATGGGTGCGAGAGAGACAGAGCGGCATGACTCTACAACAGGGCGGGGCAGGGCGGCCAGGGGGCAAGTTTGCAGCCACGCCACGTCACGTCGGGCGACACGACTCCACACTTAAGAGGCGCGGGGGGGGGGGGGGGGGGGGCAGCAGAGGGGCGTGGCCGTGATTCCCCAATCAGATAACAATTAACGACCTTCATAATTCGTCTGGCGCCTCGCGAGGCACTCAGCGGACGACAGTCGCATCCCGGCCCGCAGGCCGACTCCCGGCGGGCTCGCTCCGTCTCTCTCGCACCCACGGGGCGTCCCGCGTGGGTGCGAGAGAGACGACGCGACGAGACAAACGACTCTTTCGGAATCAGTCTGCAGGCGAGCGCGCGGCAGTTCAATATATTCTCCCCCTCCTTCCCCCCTCGCCGCTGCGCTGAGAGTACAGCTGCTGTGAATTTAGTTCGGACGGCCCTGCACAGTGGGCCAGAAGACCGGTGGAGGCGGCCAAAACTCTAGACGCGTTTTGAGCTCCAGAGTCGCTAAACAGGCCTCGAACCGAACGTGTGACCCCACCAATGGATTCCTCGTTCGGAGAGCAATCCATTGGTGGGGTCACACGTTCGGTTCGAGGCCTGTTTAGCGACTGTGGAGCTCAAAACGCGTCTGGAGTTTTGGCCGCCTCCACCGGTCTTCTAGCCCACTGTGCCCTGCAGGCTGATTCCGCGCTCCGTCTCTCTCGCACTCGTGGGGCGCCCCGCGGCGGTGCGAGAGAGACAGAATGAGCCTGCGCCGGACGGCGGACGGACGATGCCGCTTTTCTTGTGCAGCTTCGACGGGCTGCCCCGGGCTGCCCCCCTGCGCGCTGCGCCTGAATGCAATCATTGGCCCTGCGTTGTCAACGCGCCCCCCCCCCTCTGCCCCAGTCCATTTAACGGACGGCAAAATACTGCGGGGGTGTGGGTGAGGGGACGTCGTCGTCGCTTTGTCAGATAGTTTGACGTGAGAGAGAGAGAGAGAGAGAGAGAGAGAGAGAGAGAGAGAGAGAGAGAGACAGAGACAGAGACAGAGAGAGAGAGCTGGATCACGCGTGGCGCTGCTGATGGCTGTTGTGAAGGGTGTATTTAAAGCAGACAAAAAAAAATACTTAAAAAACGCGTGCGAGAGCAGCGAGGCGCGACGCGCTGCTGTCACACACGAGCCGATCATACCGGGCTGAGTACGCCTCGAAAGCGAGCAATGTGTTTCGCCCCACTGATTCGCCGCTCGACTGGTCGTCGCTCTGTGCAACGGCCCCGGGCCCCGGGAGTGCGAGAGAGAAGCACAAAGGCACGATCGTGCGAATGGCGAACACGCGACAATGAGTGCCGGCCATTGAAAGGAGCCCGGTTTAGCGACGCGACTCCGGGCAGGAAGGACTGCACAGGCGCAGGGTCCAACTTAGAGAGCCTGCTATGTCCAACCCATCCTAACCTAACCTAACGGGCTCGCGACAGATCTTTCTCTAACTCGCGACAGAATCTTTCTCTAACTCGTGACAGATTTTTCTCTAACTCGCGAACCTAACGGGCTCGCGAAAGATCTTTCTCTAACTCACGACAGATCTTCCTCTATTCGCGACAGATCTTACGCTACTCGCGACGGATCTTACTCTATTCGGGACAGATCTTACTCTATTTGCGACAGATCTTACGCTAATTGCGGCAGATACCGCCTGAAGCAACAAAAAAATAAAATGCATGCGGGATTCGAACCCGCGCCTGCAGCGTGTGGGCCAGACGCGCTACACCTCATCCATCCAGAGACCTCTCGGAGCGAGTCTCCAGTTGCAACCACTATCCGCCGCAGCGCTGCGTACCCCCACCCTTGACCCATGGAACCCTGCGCCTGTGCAGTCCTTCCTGCCCCGAGTCACGCCGCCCGGTTTAGCAGTGCCAGTGCCGCCCACTCCTCTCATTTTAATTTTTGAGAGTGTGCTCACTGCAAAGTCTGTCTCGGCGCGGGAAGTGGCGGGGCGGGGCGGGGCGGGGCGGGGCGGGGCGGGGCGGGGCGGGGCGGGGCGGGGCGGGGCGGAGTCCGGAGCCGGGCCGGCCTCTCAGGCGGCGGCAGCGCGGCAACGCTCCTCGAGGGGAGAAAGGTCAAACAGGCCGCCGCGCCCCGCCGCGCCCCGCCGCGCCCCGCCGCGCCCCGCCGCGCCCCGCCGCGCCCCGCCGCGCCCCGCCGCGCCCCGCCGCGCCCCGCCGCGCCCCGGGGCCGGCCCGTATCGCATCAAGTTAAAGGGGCCGGCCCGGCCTGTGTGAGGACCGCGGCCCCGCTGCCGCCACTTCCGGTCCATTTGCTCCCTCAATATATTCATGAGTAGGTGCCCCCCACTCCCCCGGCCGGCGCGTCGCGGCGCGGAATGCCAAAGGGGTGGCGGGGCGTAGGCTGCGCGGTGCGGGCTGTATACGCGGTGCGGGTGGGGGCGAGCGCGGCGGTCTTGGCCAGCCCCAGCGCCGCCCAGCGCCCAGCAGCCCGCCGGACCGCGCGCCACGCCGCCACGCGGCCACCTCCTGCCCCGTCCTGCCGGCCTGGCATCGCTACGCACCCCCGGGTCAAGGTCGCGCTGCGTCCACTGCCCAATCTGAATCCGGCGCCGCGGCCCCTTCGCCGCCAATCCGAATCCGAATCCGAAGGCGCGAGGCGACGTCCCACCACCATTTAGCGGCACGGTGCTCCGTCCGTCACGCCCCCCCCCCCCCTCCCCCGAGTGATACGCCGACGCGACGGAATGGAGACAGCAATGACGCGGAAGGGACATCGCCTGCAGACCGATTCCGGGAGTCTCCGTCTCTCTCGCACCCCTGCCGGACGCCCCGCGAGTGCGAGAGAGACAGAGACACTCGGCCTGCGGGGCGGCGCGGCGCGATTCCTCACTCGGCCAACCGGCGTCGCTATCGCTCCGCTTGTCACGCAGCAGCGGCGCTCTCGAACCGCAATCGCCATAGCGCGCATTATTTTTATCAGTGCGGGATGCGGGATTCGCGTGCCGGTCGCACTTGCGGACGCAGGAGGGGATGAGAACCATTTCATTTTATATCATTGTTGATGTTGTTCTATTATTTACTTTTATTTTTCGTTCCGTTCCAGGCCTGGAATCTGCAGATTCGGCAGGCCACGGAGGCCGACGCCGGGCTCTACGAGTGCCAGATAACATCGCACCCGCCCGTCAGCGTGTTCCTCACCCTCAAGGTCATTGGTAAGTACAAAGAGAAAGAGTGAGAGAAAAAAAATCCGCGCAAATCCAAACGCCCAGAGAACGCGCTCGTGTCAGTGTGCGCGTGTGTGTGAGAGAGAGAGACAGACAGACAGACAGACAGACAGACAGACAGACAGAGAGGCGGGGGTTCCAGAGGTCTGCTCTGGAAAGCCAATTACTTGGCGCGCGTCCCAGTGCTGCCGACCAATAACAACCGCTTTGTTTTTATCAGTGTTGCCACCACTTTTCGCTCCTTGGTCCGTCGGTCCGTGGGCGATGACGATGATGTGCTCTGCACGCTCTATGATTCGAGTGGAGTCGGTCCGGTGCCCCCCCCCCCCCTCCGTCCTCCACCTGGAGTCTGCCGTACCGCTGCAGCGGCAGGCTGATTCCGTGCGGGGCGGTCGGCTTCTCATCTCTCTCTCTCTCTCTCTCTCTCTCTCTCTCTCTCTCTCTCTCTCTCTCTCTCTCTCTCTCTCTCTCTCTCCCTCCCGCCCACGCGGGCCGCCCCTTGAGTGGGAGCGAGAGAGACCGCTGCCGGCCTTCGCCATTGCCCCATTACACCGGCACTCGTCCCGGTTCGAGTTGCGCTGCCGACTGGACTGCGCTCGAAGCTCGAAGAGAGCAGCGGGGTAGTGGAGCAGCGCGCTCGAAGGCCACGGCTCTCTCTCTCTCTCTCTCTCTCTCTCTCTCTCTCTCTCTCTCTCTCCCTCTCTCGCACTCCCAGAGCGAGCCGCTCCAGAGCTTCGAGGGGCTCCAGCCCGATCCAGCCCGTTCCAGCGCCAGAGGCGGCCAGCTCGCGTCCTTTCGGACGAGCGGCCGGCCGGAGGCTTGGCCGGGCTCGGCCTGGCCGGGCCTGCCCTCCGGAGCACTCGACGAAACTACTTGTGAAAGGAGGCGGAGGCGGGGGGGGGGGGGGGCACGACGGATGGCATTTGATCGCCGCTGACGAGGGAGGCGCGCGCAAGGTGATCAGATTATCGCTCCGCGTTATCCGCTTTTGTTGTTGGGCCAGTGCAGCGGGATTAGGGCCGCGAAGGGGGGGGGGGGGGGGGCGGGGGGCGGCAGAGCCTGGCGAGATGAGATGGAGCCGGAACGGGCGGCGTGCGATGAAAAAGCGAAACGGGAGGCTGAGAGTCGTCGCTCCGTCGCACTCGCGGGGTGAACCGTGCGGGTGCGAGAGAGACGGAGCGACGCGAACGACTCTCGGAATCAGCCTGAGGGGAAGCGGATGGAAGGGCGGCGAGGCGCGGCGAGGCGCCAAAGCGCGGCGAGGAGAGGGATCGCGTCGCCGGCACCGCGGACATCGCGGACACTGAGACTGACTCGTTAGCCCGGCTGGCGGCAGCAGCGGCGGCAGCGTCTCTGCGGTCCGTGCCGCGCCGTGCCGTGCCACTCCTTGCCGCGCCGTGGCGACGCGGAAGCCCCGGCGACAGAAACAAGGCCGGAAATAAAGTAAGGAAAAGAAAAGCCCGATCGCGTCGAGATGCGCTCTCCGCTGGGCTCGGTGCCCCGTCTCTCTCGCACCTAAATGGGACCGCCCCGTGAGTGCGAGGGAGACAGAGCGACGAAAAAGACCATCGGAATCAGTCTGCGGCTGCTGGCTGGCCGAGCGCGGCCCGAAGCCGATGGGAGGGTTTTTGCAATGTGGGCCTGTAGCGCCCGCCGGCCGCGGGGTAGGCAAGCCCGCCGCGCTGCCGTGCGCCGCGGCACGGCCCGCCCTCTCGCTCGCAGGGGCTCCCCGCTCGGAGAGAGAGAGAGAGAGAGAGAGAGAGAGAGAGAGAGAGCCCCGATGCCAAACGCACGGTTCATTCGGTGTAAAGTGCGTTTTCCGGGCGAGGGCTTCCGCCCGCCCCGCTCCATCCGGCCCCGGCCGCAGCGGTTGCTGCGTGCTCTGCGCTTTGTGTCTGCGGGGCCGGGCCGGCCCCCCTGCGTAGCTATGCCTAGCTCTGCGCATCCCTGTCACACTGCGATAATTCTACGAAAGCATTTTAAAATCTACGAAGATGCCTTTATTTTCTTGGCGGCTTGGAAGCAGAGACCGGCGAAGGCGGCCAAAACTCCAGAGTCGCTAAGTGGGACTCGGACTGAACGTGTGACCCCACCGATGGATTCCTTGTTGGGAGAGCAACCCATTGGTGGGGTCACACGTTTCGCTCGAGTCCTTCTAAGCGACTCTGGAGCTCAAAACGCGTCTAGAGTTTTGGCCGCCTCCGCCGGTCCTCTGGCCCACTGCGTGACTGCATGGCGGAGGCAGTTGCTGCGTTGTCTGAGTGTGGTTCTCGGAACTGACTAAGCTGTTCCCTGTTGCAGAGGCGCGCGCCGAGGTGGTGGGCGCGCCGGACCTGCACATCAAGGCGGGCTCGTCGCTGCGACTGGTGTGCCGGCTGCAGGGCTCCACCGAGACGCCCGCCTTCCTGTTCTGGTACCGCGGCACCAGCATGGTCAACTACGACGCGCACGACGGCTTCTCGGTGGTGACGGGCGAGGGCGTGGAGGAGGTGGCGGGCGTGGGCGCGGGCCAGGGCGCCTACTCGGTGCTGCGGCTCGACCGCGCCGCGCAGCGCCACGCCGGCAACTACACGTGCGTGCCCGCCAACGCCAGGCCCGCCAGCATCCAGGTGCACGTCATCAACGGTACGTCTGCCCTTCCTCAGCCTGCCTGCCCCTCCCGTCTGCTGCTGTTCCGTCCCACAGTGGGCCAGAAGACCGGTGGAGGTGGCCAAAGACGCGTTTTGAGCTCCACAGTCCCTAAGCGAGACTCGAACCGAATGTGTGACCCCACCAATCGATTGCTCTCCGAACGAGGAATCCATCGGAGGGGTCATACGTTCGCTTCGAGTCCTGGACTCTGGAGCCAAAAACGCGTCTAGAATTTTGGCTGCCTCCACCGGTCTTCCGGCCCACTGTTCGTCCGCGTGTTCATCTGTCTGATGCACTGCGCGCGCTGCGTGTTGCTCGGTGTTGCAGACGAAGCCCCCGCAGCCATGCAGCGGGGCAGCGGGGGCCGCATCGTGCCCCAGGGGCCGCTCGTCCCGCTGTGGGCCGCGCTCCTGGCCGCGCCGCTGCTGCTGCTGTAGGCTGCTCCATGCTGCGCCATGCCGCCGTGGCCCCGTCTGGGGACTGCGGCCCGGCCCTACAGTGCCGTGCCCTGCCTTACAGTGCCCTGCCCAGGTGCACCCAGGTGGCTTCGACGCCCTGGGACGCAGGAGCGGCAGGGCGACGCGGAGACGCAGCAGTGCGGTGGACTCAAAGACTCCTGGAGGGTCGGTCCTCTGGGACAGCGGCGCGGCGTATGCATCGGTGGTGGAGAGGAGCCCTCCCCTTCCTTTTCCCCCTTGCGACCGCAAGCTGGCTGCGCTGCTGCCTTGGGTTGGCTTGGCTGGGTTGGCCGGGTCGACGGCCGGGGGCTTCTCGACGTCCTCGACTCCCGGACGTCGTCCTGGGTTTCACCGGAAGCACAGTCCGGGGCACGACAATGCAGCCCGCCCCCTGGCGCCCCCAGCGGCCCCAGACTGGCTCCCGTCTAAAATGGAGAATAGAGAAATAAAAAAAAGTGTCTTTCGTGATATTTGAAGCTCGTGCATTTCATTGGGCCGCCTGGCTTCCCTTCGATACGAGATTCGGGCGCTTCCAGCGGGGCAACAATGGGCGAAGCGCCTGGAAACTGGAGTACCGTGTCGCCGTGTTCATCGCAGTTCATCGCGCCAGGGAGCGGCGCCGAGACCGTGCCTGGCGAAGCAGTGGCGTTGCAACGGGGTTAGCCCCTCACCCCCAACCATCGCCCGGTGTGAGGCCATTCGCATTTCTTTCCGCCAGTAAGTAGGCAAAAAAGTTGACGCCCCCTCGACTACGCCACTGGCTGCTGGCACTCGCGCATCCCCGGCATCTCACCAGTCTGCCTCCTCTCCATCCCTTCCCGCAGCGCACGTTTCCAGTGGTCTCTCTGATCCAGAAGTGCATGTCGTCTGGTATTCAAAGTCCCCCCCTTTTTTTTCTCCCAACGTAGCTCGGACAGTAAAGTCGCTATGCACGAACGCTTCCGAGCAGGCCTCGAAGCAGCGCGTCCGCGTCGTCGTTTTGCAAGGGACTACACTGTGAGGAAACTCCATTGCAAAGAGGAAGCCAACAGGCCTTTAATTGCCTTTGATTAATTCCACCAAAAGTGTAAAAAAAAAAACAAAAAAAAACACCCATTTTGGAGAAAATTTTAGGTCTAAAAACATAAATATGTGAGATAAGTTTAAAGAAAATAAAAGGTGCAATGAATGTGAGAAAAAAATTATATTATTGTGTTATTGATGTGTGTGATTCCTCTTAAAGATTGATACAAAAGGAAAGTTGTCTGTAAATTTGTGTAAATGTGTTAGGACTGAACAGTATTATTTATCATTTCTGTGATTGTGTACATATTAATGAGTAGGATCTGACAGGTGTGTTCTGTGTGTGAGAATGAAGAAATAAATATTCTAGTTCAGTTTTGTTTGAAAATACTACTTTTACCTTCCTCTCTTCACATGGGTATTTACACTGTCACGCCATACCACTGAGATTACACTTAACATATTGGTCTTGAACCGTCAACAACAATTTCTATTGAAAAAAATTTATTTTTTTCTAATGGCGATTGTGTGGATGTGTCAATGTCAAAACGATACTTCAAAACGCTACCTTAGAAGATGTAGATGACAGTAATTTCTCCGCTACTTTTGCTCGTTCCTGAAGAATTTGAAATTCTTGCTCAGGGAGGGACTTGCTACCTTTACGTACTACAAAATGATTTATGAAAAGACGGAGCCCTTCCCGGAAGAGGTGGAGTTGAGCAGATGGTGCTACCCTTCTGAAAACTTCTTCACATTTAGGAACATCTTCAGAGAGCAGAATTGTAAGCAGTATCTGTCGAACTAAGCGAATACATGCCTTGTCCATTTCAGCAAAACTCATCACCTTTAAAAAACCCCCCAAAAAAAACAAGATTTAAAGTTAACATTCCCAGGATTGAATATACATCATAATGCTAAGTTTGCAACACAAGATCTTTTACCTTAAGTGCTGAAATAGGAAGGCCTTTTTCAAGGAATAGGTGTGCCAGCAGCTTGGCCAAATTTATCATCTGTGACTTCTGGAACTTATCAAGTTCTTTAAGCTTGTCCCACAGGCAATATTGAAATTTCATCTAAAGAAAAAATGAGACTATGTAGTTTACATGGGATGGAAGTGCCAGAAGTACCAATATTTGTTATTGATTAACCAATAGGCATTGGTTTTACCTGATACTGCCGGTCAAATTCACAGAACTTTTGGGACAAGTGCGCATAGTAAGGATTGAACGATTTTTCTTGAAGACAGCAATCAAACAGTACAGCAACTATTTCTTGTCGTTGTTGATTTTTCAGGTTGAGATGAAGAAGCTTCTCAAATGCATCCAAATAGTCCTGAAAACACAAAGAAAAGCTTCCTTAATCTGACTATTATCCTGCTCGGACTAATATTGGATACAAGGAGAGAGACTTACTTCTGCAGACATAAGGATACAGAATATATCTTTGCGGACTCCTGTGTTCATTCGCTGCTTTCTCACCAATTCCAAAAGCTGTGCACTGTATTTATCAGAGGATTTTACGGATTTAGTGGTGTCTTCAGATAAAGAGTTTTGGTTGGATTCTGGATTTTCTCCAGGTAAATGGCCAGTCCATGCTGAGCCCACAATCCACCATCGTCCTCGTTCATCAGCTGTAATAGAAATATGAACATATAATGATAATAATCAGCATAATAAAATCAAAACTGCGGAAGTAAAATGTTACCTTTCAGCAGGTCTTCAAGGGTAATCTTCAGCTCAGCAACATAATTGCCTCGTCTAATCAGAGTTCGCATAAGTTTTTTAAGATGTTCTATGTGCTCTGGGCTGTAGCTTGGAATTTTTGATACATTGTTATTTTTTATAGCCATTAAAATATCCAACATAAATCTGACTCGACTGCTGGCGCTAGTAAACAGATGAAACAAGAGAAAAACATGAGGGAGGTGGAACAAAGTTGACAAGGTTAGCCAAAAATTTATAATGCAGGGTCCATAAATTGATTTACTGAAAAAAGTAATACCTGGAAGCAGCTGAACTACTTGATGCTTTTTCCTGAACCTTAAGGATCAGATTTTTCAAAGCAAGAGGGTCGTCCTTACGCAATGAAAATCCTACACTGCGAAGAACTACAAGCAACAATTCAATTCTTTTTTCGTCTAGAACTTCAGCTATCCTGTCCATAACTTCATACATTAGAGATGCACTAAATATCTAACAGAGAAGCACAAAAACAGATTAGCAGAGAGCACAAAAGGAAGATTCTTATCTTAAAATATCTGAGGCACAGGCCACTCACTTTAAAGTTATACAAGTGTGACAAAATTAATATCACATTGTCTAATTCTTTGTTCTCCACTTCTGATGAAATGCCAAGCATTTCATCAAATTTATTCATTAAACTCTGAAGGAAATGTGCTCCTAATAAAAGAAACAGACAAAATTAATTACTTGAAAATAAAATTGGATTATTATCAGATGAAAATTTAGAAAGGATAGAAACTGTCTAACCAACTTCAGAGCCGACATTTGCATGGAGAACAGCTATAAGAAGCATGTGTTCCATGACTAACCGCTCCGGGGTGAGAACAGTGGAAACAAGTGCTTCCATGTAAAGGGTCAAGAGAGTTTCATTCATGTCATTTCGACTATTTTTCATGTACAGCTCATCCATCTGACAAAAAATAAAATACAGTATGTTAAATTAGAAGGAAAAACATGAACATAAAATAATTACAAGTAGAATAGACAGTGTTATTTACCTGATTACAGATGCTTGTCATATTATTTTCAGCCAATCTGTTGAGAAGACCCTTCATTTGCCTTCGAAGTCTGGAAAGGATTTCCTTCCTCTTTTCATCCTCGTTCCCTTGCATCTTTGCCCTTAAGGCAGGAGGAATGTATTTTCCAGGGGTTGCCTTAAAAATTCAGAAGATACTGTAGGTTTAATTTTGGTGTTCCAAACAAGAAATGATAAGGAGCAATGGTACTTACATCAATGACATTGCCACCTTTGTCTCTTGTTCGCCCATAGATGTCCTCCCAAGTACCATCTGGATTTTTCCTTGATTCACTTTTATTTCTTTTAACATCATCCTGATCATCATCATCCTCACACATTGATTCATCAGAGTCAAAATCCTCATTGTCTTCGCCACCATCACCACCACCATCATCACCATCCCAATCCTCCTCTTCCTCATCCTCTTTGTTTTCGTAACTATCTTCTCTCTTCTTCTTATTAGCAATGGATGAGTTGCTGTCTTTTCCTTTCTTGCTGCTCTCTGGATTCTGCTGCACATCCTCACTCCATGAAACACTTTTTTTCTTGGACTGAGAGGCAGCTTTAGATTGCTTAGCAGCCTTTGAAGTGGGTGCAATCTCACTGGCATCACTCTCACTTCCATCATCCAACATGTCACCATCATCTGACATGTCGGCAGCATCTGACATATCATCACCTGACATATCATCAAGTATGTCTCCATTCTCTGACATGTTCTCATCTTCAGAAGCGCCGTCATCAGAGCCATCATCTACTCCTAGTCCAAAATCACTTCCTGAATCATCTTCATCACTTACTATGGCAGAACTTTGCGGTTTTCTGTCTTTGCTTTTCCCCTTTGGGGCTTTCTCTTTTTCTTTTCCCTTAACTATGGCAAAGTCCTCTTCAAACTCAGAGCCTGAGTCCTGCAGAACTTGATCTACTCTGGCGCTATCCTTCAATGTCTCTGGGTCGCATACTTCCAGCAAATCTAGTAAATTGTGTTAAAGAATTTTACAGACTTACACATCAACACAATAGTATGTATGAAACAAAATAATGCAAAAGACAATTGTGACATAAAATAAACACTCTTTCAATAATTTCATGTTTCAGTCAGAAAGGATACAACCAAGACCATCCTCTTTGAAAGACTTTGGTATTCCATTTGGCTTGGCTTTACCACGTCTTCTCTGATTAATCTTCAAAAGCTTCTCTAGATGACGGATGTGACGGTCTTCGTCTTCATTAGCTGCGAGAAGCTGCTTTTTACGATTAGCTCCCATCTGTGATTCGATTTTTTTCTGCCGAGACTTCTCATCATTTCCAAGTTTATTTAATTTGGGCTGTGATTGTTTTGCATGTTGCGGACCTGAGAAAAAAAGACTTTGATTCAGACATCACTAGAAATTTGATTTGAATGAGGGTTAAATTTAAACTCACCTTTGCGATTGTTTTTAATGTCCTTAGTGCTGTTGGTCTTTTCGGGTTCGGGTTCTGGTTGCTTCCTCTGATTTCTCATGGTTCGTCGAAGTTTCTTCTCTTTCCTCTGCTCCTTCCGTAATTCTTTTCTAGTCTTCTGGATGGGCGGTTTGGGAGGTGCTTTCCTTTGAGGCCCCTTCTTAAACTTCCCCATCTTGACGGTTTTACTGAAAGAAGAGTTCAGTGGTTAAGATTTAAGTACTTTTAAGGTAGCTTGAGTTAAAATTATATTTCAAATTGTGTAACAAAATTAACTGTACCTTAATTTTTTTAAAAAGAAGGTCTCAAATAAAGTTATAAATTGATTAATTCCACAAAAGATTTAAAGACTCCAAGTGCCAACCCAGACTCCCACGAGTTTTCAGGTTAGAAATATACACACAAAGAAGCTGCAGTAGAAATTTCTCATAAACACAACTGTGGTGTTATCAGTAGGCATGAAAAATTTTTGGCTACAGTGTACACACTTGTCGGCAGACTGCAGACACACCCGTCTGTAGCACCCGTCAAAGAAAGTTGAAGTTGAAAAGTTGAATAAGAACGCACTGAAGTAAAGTTGATCTCAATCGTAAAGGTAAGTAGCTTCAGCGCCCACGCCCGTCGTAAGTTGCTGTTTTTCTTTGACTTGCCATGACTCCTAAGGGTGGCACTGTCACACTGTTGCACAACTGACAGCAACAACACAAACACAACAGGACTTCAGATTTTATGAAATCTTTTGTGACATGGTCATTGTTCAATTTGCAGATGGCAAAGACAGGATTCTCAGCCAAAGAGAAACTGAAGCAAGAACTGCATTCCCTTGGCTCAGCTTTGGTGTCTCAGTTTGGGGCTGCAAGGGCTTCAACGAACAGTGGAGATTTGGAGGCTCTACGACTATTGGCTGAGGGGAAAGGGACATGTCGATTCAAAGTGGAGGATTGGACTGAACCTGTACATTTGAATGGAGAGGACGACAACACTGCTCTTCTGCGGATTTTCCTTCTCTTACTTTGGCAAAATGGGAGTCTAGAAAAAGTAAGTCAACAAATGTTAACTATATTTACAATGTTGTTCAGTAAGATCTGAAATAATCAAAACTATTTTAGGCATCTTATGACCCTGAAGACCTAAGAATTGCAAGAGAAAAAGTTATGAGAGTTAAACCCTCTGTGAAACAAAATGACCAGTCTCAAATTGCAGACGAAACAAGTATTAAAAATGCACAAGAAAGTAAAATCGAGGTTGAATCAGCGGAAGCAGAGGAACAAGTGAAGGAAGAATTATTGGGATGCAAGGACCAGGAGAGGGAAGAAACGGCCGAAATGGAGGTTCAGGAGGAGGAAGAGACTTTAGAGGAAGATGCCGACACCAAGGACATACCTCAGGAAGTTCTTTTGGCAGAGGATGGCACAAACTACTTGGTAGGACCCAGGGAGATACACCTGATGAGAAAGGACCACTATCATCCTCTTTTTTCTAATTACCGGTCGAGTACAGAAATCAGACAAAGGAACTTTCTCACCTCAAAACACCTCTTGCATGTAAGTATCCTAGCAGTGTTCTGTAGTACCAATATGATCAGGTCTATGCAATATTACTCCATTAATTTCCCTTCCTTTACTAAGGTCCGCAAGTTAACTGGCATGGATGTGTACGACTTTGGGTATGACTTTTGTCAAGAAGTGTTGGAGAAGGCTGCACCATCAGTGGAGGAGCTGGCTACTCGCCACCACAGACTTCATGAACTGGAGCTTTTCCATGACCTGCAATTCCCTCGGCTGCAACGCCTCTATATCTGGATGGATGAAAGAAGCAACATAGGGGTAAGTTAAATACAGCGACATTGAGTAACTTGAGTTTGAGTCATCCCTCAACCAGTTATTTCGATTAAACATGAAAATCTGAGTGTGAAATTCCCATCAAATGGATATTGAGATGTCTGCAATAGGCCTCAGTCGGGTGCACTTTTCTTACCCAACGTGCTCCTACAGGACGAGAGCCACTTCCAGTTTCCAGCACTTCCCGAGGACAGTGTGGGGCTACGATGGTTGCGCGCGCGCTTGCCGCGTCCCGCACTCCTGTCCCTGCTTCGCAACAACGCCAAGACCCTCGCAGAGCTGCAGGTGGAAGTGGGCACACGCAGCTACCACCCCCCTACCTTCCCAATGCAGTGTGATGATCTCCATGTCCTGCTGGCAGACTGCAGTCTGAGCGCGCTCCAGAGGCTCAGGTTAGTCAGAGGTGAGGGCTCTAATCACACCAGAGCAGACTGTGAGGAGCAGGTTGGAGCTGTGAGGCGCAGTCTGCCGGGAGTCACAGTGCTTTGTGACAAGTGTTGCGTTTCAGACAAATCCTGTGGCATTGACTACTACCGTAATTACTACACTCCAAAGGGAGAATGGGATCGGTATGCATAAGTTCCTAAAAAAAATTTGTTAAAATTTGCACAATTTTATTAAATGTTTTTAAAAAGTTTGATTGTTTATTTTTATTACTTGAATTTACATCCATCCCTTTACTCAAGAGGTTGGATATTAATAAGACAAGAAGGAATCTTGGAAACTATGCATAAAAGAAGAAGCATCAGGCGCCATTGAGGTTTCCAAAAATGATTGGTCAGGTCGGTACTGCATGCTGGCATTATGTCTAACAGACTGGTTTGGATTTTTTAGTTCCTGATAAACTATAGGGAAGTACTGAATACGGCCGGATGACCAAGCCTGCAGAGAAAAAGGTAAATTTATCAATAGTTTATAATGAGCTGTTCCTTCAAGCCAGAAAAACAGATATACACAACTTACAATTGTCAGGCATGCGCCCACATCAAAGTTGTTCTGGAAAGCTATTGTGGTTGGCTGCTCACCACTAGCACCTTTCACAAGGCAGCTGAAGATAAGAAAAATAAAACAAATCATTTATTTAGAAAAGAAAAGAACTAGCTTCTAGTAATTGGTCATACTTACTTGGGTGTGATTAGGAGGTGCGGAACCAAATCAGTTCTGTAGATGGCAACTAGTGGTGAATTTTCAAAAATCAATGCTAGATGACGACCAAGTCGATCCCAAACCATCGAAAGTACAGTACCACCAATCCTTTTTTGATGTGAAAATAAATGAAAAAAATGTTAGAGAGCACTTTGGTACGAGACCCTTCTTCCATTCCAAAGAGGCTTACCGAGTTCCATTGCCAACTTCCTCCTGGGCCAGGTTAATGACTACCCTAGCTGCTTGTTCACTGACAGGTGTGTCTGAGTAGAACATGGTGTCCAGTTGAGCGCAGTTTGGTTTGAACTGAAGAGCATAGACCACAGATTCTTCTGACGTAGTGAAAAGCAGGACTGTACTACAAGGTGACCAGCAGGCTGTGCGCACATGGCCAGAGAGAACTCGCCACCTTTCAGGAACCCAGTTGCTAGAATCCCAGACTCTGCAAAAATGTAACAGGCAGCAAAATTTTAATGACTGCATGCTTTCAGAGGTGATGGGCCTAAAATCAAATAATACCTGAAAGTAACACTAGTGGTTGCAGCCAGCAGTTTGTGCACATCAGGGGACCATGATACGAGGCTGATGCCTCCACCACCCACTCGACGAAGCGGAATGGACTCTTGAAGATCTACGTCCCAAATATACATTGATGTATCACCAGTGGCAGCACTCACAAGAAGAGTGCCCTGCAGCAACACAAAGGATCGTAAATATCTTTCAAATTCTGGGAAGAATAAGGGTGAAAAAATCCGACACCTGTTGTTCCAAACTTACAGTCGAATTCCATTGGACACTAGACACAGGTGAATGTCCTGGTTGTTTCAAAACTGTTGCGCAACTAATGGATGGGCGAGTTACAACAGACTTTGGATCAACCTGCCAAACTAAGACACCTGCATGACAACCAACAGCTAATTCAGATGCAGAGTGTGGCCTGAAACAATTATTCAAATTTAAAGCCAGTGTCCAGCATTCAAGCCCATGAAATTCAGTAAATGAAGTAAAAATTCACCTCCAAGCAAGACAAGACACAGATCGCTGGCCTTTACTCCGGAGAGTTGGGACAAGACCAGGGCTCATAGCAGTATACACTCTTACTGAATCATCCGACACAGCAACAGCAATTTTAGTGATGTGAGGGTGCCATGCGATGCACCTTACAGGGTTGTGATGCAATGATCGCGAGTGGGCTCCAGAAGCAGTAAGGTGCTGGCCCCTTTCCTGGAAATTGAGAAATAATTTCAGTCATCAAAGAACATAATACAGTGTAGAAATTAAGTCAGTACACTTACACCAAAATGTGGGTACACAGAATTTAAAACAAGTGACATAGCATGGATGGCTTTGAGAGCAATTCTTGCAGACATCTGTAGAATATATCCTGATTGGTCATTGGGTGTGGCTGCGAGTTCTAGTGCTTCGACAGTTCCTTGCTCGTACCTGAAATGATTAAAAAACACATTACTACATAAAAACCAAATACAACAGAAAACCCTAAGTGACTTTTTTCACAAATCGAACCATGTTGAGATTATTCTCTTCAGTAGTTTCTCTTCCACATGGAGAAAAACATGGCGTGCATCTTCCCTCGCTGCAAGGTGCACAGCATCGTGTGACAGTGATATAACAGGGTGGGTAACAACCTAGACAACATGAAACAGATTAGAAAACGATGAGAGATCCAAGAAGGACCGAATGACAATCACCTCCCAACTGTAAACTGCTTACAGTATTTGTAAATTCAGCAGGATTGGCACTTTCGAATGGTTTGTGGGCAACTTTGCCATCAATCTCGCAAACACTGACGCACCCTTCTGGGGGTAGCGGGGAGAAGCCCGCGCACGAAGCAACCATTGCCAGGCTGCAAGGGAAGTGGCAACTTCTCAAATCGATGCAAACGCACGATTTCTCAAACTGTTGGTATGATCCACTGTGCGTCTAACCTACAGAACACTCCCCGGCACACTTTTGCACACGGACCCGAGTAAAGAGTTCACTTTGGCAGCGAACTGAAAAGGCAGAGCTGAGAGAATATTTCAAACACATAAAGTTGCGACCGAACCGGCATATGAAGGAGCTCAAAGTTTACAGTGGTAATTTGTGTTTGCATTTGATATTTTGCCGCGGTAATTCGTTCTGCGAATAAGGGCTAACCGAATCGAGTTATTTACAGGTTGAAACCCCCTCCCCCCACCCCCACCCCCTTACCCTTCTGCTTCTTTGTTTTCTGCTGTGATTGCTGTCAAACACAAAGACATTGACTATTTAATTTAAGCCCTATGGAGTGACTCTCCCATAATTTTATAAAGAATTATCTCTATCCTTAGTATCCCGGAGTTTTTTCTTTTTTCCTTTCCAACCTCGACGCTCGTTACCTCTCCAAAAAAGTTTGCAATCCAAAACAAAATCATAACCTGTGCGACTCCTGTCACTTTGTTGTCATGTGTTTCAATAATTCCTATAAAGACTGATTGATTACATTCAAGCATACAATGTCTGATTTGCACATTTTAAACTTTCGTCTAGTGGATTCTGTTCCCACAGAAAAACCGTATTATGTCTACACTGTAGATGTTAACATTAATGGGCGACATCGTTGTGTTGAGAAGCGTTACAGTCAGTTTCACAGCCTACACAGACAAGTAAGAGAGAATGGAACATTACATGTTTCCATTGAATTTGAAAAATTTTGTTCACTGCTTTTTTGTATTGATTTCAGCTCAGGAAATTATACCAAACACCTACCTTCCCACCGAAGCGTGTACGCTGTTCTCAACCTCGTTTGCTGGAGCAAAGACGACGGGGCTTAGAAATGTACCTTCGCACCGTGTTTCTACAGTCTGCACCCTGTCGTTCTCAAATCATGAGCTTTTTGGGTCTACCCCAACTTTCTGCCCTGGAAACGTGAGTGTCCTACTGGTTTTTGTTTTTAGGGAAACAATATCTACAAAATCACTATAATCTTTCTAAATTTCTTTTTCAGTTGTAAAGGCTCTAGCTGTGAGGTGCCATTGGATCACCCACCTATTTATATGTACAAGAATGACCCATACATACATCCTAACACTAAATCTGATCTTCCTGATGTCGTTGTGAATGGCATACTCATGGCTTTGTATGACACACCTCGGCTGCACTGATAATTTGTTATTTCTTTATTTAAGCAAAATTTAATTTCTATAATCCAAAATTTTATTTCTGTTATCACATGGGTATTATCTTTTTTCAAACATTCATCACTGCATTCCATGTGAACCAAATGTGATATAACATAATTTGTATGAATAAAAGTGCAGAAGCTACAGCATTTTTTCTGTTTCATTTAGTACATTACTGACAGGGCTGTTGGCGATTTCTGATTACACTTGAAACTTTATGAATGTGAGACTGGAAAGGAAGCACAGTTATTGTCATTTAAAATTGTTTATTGAAGTGACATTAAAAATTAATATAAAGACAGTTACATCAGTTCACTAGTGACAAAAGAAAAGATTTCATTTATGTTTATGGACACAGTAAACCTATAACTAAAATGATCTGTCTAAAACCAACAACTTAATAATAAACTATAAGTTAAGAGATTCATCTACATAATGTTTTTTTCTGTAAAAAAATGTACAAAGAACTAGCTTAGATGAGACAAGATAAAAATTTGTGCAATAAACACTTTGGACGGATTCAATGGATGGAAAATTAACTTCAGTACCGTTCATGCTTGACTTCACTCCCCTCAATGAGTTCTTACTTTTCAAGATGTGACACAGTTGTGTCCAGAACCTTCTATTTACAAAATTAGAAGCTTGTAAAGAAATTATTACTAATAAAAAGTTTGTCAGGTGTCAGGTAACTAATAAAGTGCATTTACAGAATTGATAAGAAGTACTCATATGGAAGAACAGGCCTCTCTAAACTACAAAAGCCTATGGACATTTCCTTCAGTATCACAAAAAGAAGGCAGTGACTTCCTGTAATCAAAGTTATTTTGGAGTAAAATCTTAAGGGATTTAATTGCTGGAGGACATCAACTTTTTAAAAAGGCACCAATGGGTGGTTCTTTTAAATATCAGGAATAACAAGGCACATTGTTCCAAATCACAAACATAAAAAAATCAAAAAAGTATAAAATTTTAGTCAATTTGTTTCAAGGAATGATGACAAAGTTTCTTACTTTGTAACTGGTATGAGACAGTCAATTCATGCAAACCAGTATTGCAGACAACAAGTATGCAAAATATGTTTACTCAATCATGCCATGTTCCAGTCAGTCAATTAAAGTTAGGTCGCAAACCTACACAATATCATTTAAGGCACAAACAATAAATAAGGAATATGTTCCCTTAAAAATTATAAAATACTGGTCTTTCAGTTGAGAATCAATCAAATATACCAAACACTAATATCTTGATGCACAAGGACCAAAACTTCATGGAATGTGTTATTGATATATCACCTAGTACAGAATTCAGCTAATTTTTGTTTTTAAATAGTTTTAACTTAAGAAAACTATTTGCAATGAGCTTCACAATATTTGTTCTTGAAATTTATGCTCAGGTGAACCAAGTCTGAGATCACTGTTTTAAAAAATTTGCTTCTATTACCACCTATAATAGTATAGCAGGGCAGCTGCAAAACTAAACAGCACCACAAAGCTACTTTGCACACTGGAGGCACCCGCGACACGGCATTTGAACATGTCATACCTAGATGGCTTGTCGTTAACAATGTTTGAAAACTCGGCTTCCACAAGCTGGCCATCATAATATGTAATCTCGTCTTCAAATGGATACTCATAACCCTGAAGACATTGGCACTTGTAGCCACCTGTCTCAAAGCCACGGCCAAGGATGGGAACACACTGAAACAAAGAGCATAAAATAAATTGCTAGTAAAATCTGAACAGTTGATTAGTTTTTATTGGAATTATTAACTGCTTATTATCCACCCTCCAAATACTTACGTATGAAGACTTTCTAGGACACTTATGAGTATCCTTGAAGGCATTGGGTACATAATATTTATCTGGACACTGGTTTATATCCAGCTGGCGTAAATTAACTGTGACAGCCACCACACCCCTAAAATAAAATTAAAATTTACATTAGAATCATTAGAAACAGAGATGACACAGTTGAAGAGTATTGACACTCATACTCACTTAAATTCAAGCTTCACTTTCAAGCTGTCCCATCCAAAAAATGGAGCAGCATAGGTAATGACCCATTTCTTTACTTTGCCCTCACAGTCAAAATAGGGTGGAGTCCAATGACCATGGTTCAGATTGGCAGCCCTAAGATGAATAAGACAATGAGAAATGTTTGAAGGAGGGCATGTCAGACACAATAAAACCAAGTTGTAAGTAACCCACCCTTACCTGTAATGGTTGGGATAATGCTCATATTTCTTCAGAGTTTCTCCAGTTTCATTGAAGCGCAGTTTGATTTTCATGTAGTATTTCTCTAAAGAATCAAAATTGGTTGACCAGCGTTGCTTTAGGAATTTGAACCAGGGTTTGTTCAAATAAACTTCATCTGAAATCAATAATTCAAAATAAAAAATCCTCTGCTGAAAATTTTTGAACTCTTCCTGACTCCGCAGGGTTAATTGTGAAGAAGTACAAACCTGACTTGTTCAACCGGGCCAAATCTTCAAGTTTATAATCAATAGCATTAAGTTGCTCTTTGTAAGCGAATGGGGCAAATAGAGTTCGGTTGGTGAACTTTTTACGGTCCCAATATGTTCCAGCAGACCAAATCTTTGTATCACCCATGACCAGAGCTAAAGTTTCCCCAAACATTTGATCTTCCGTTAGGGGTTGGTCTGCTACTCTTTTGCCCGAGAACACCTCTTTAGGGTCTGAAATCTACAAAGCAAAAAGTTAAAAATTTAAAAAGTTAAAAAAATAATTGTGCGGCAACAGTGAAAGGGATTTATAATTTCAGATGACATACTTGAAGGAAGGCACTGATGAAATTGGCCAGACGTGAAGCCATCTTGGCCTCATTTTCAAACTGTTCATCAGCACCATGTGCAATATCACCATGCAGTTCAAGATCCTGAGGGTGGTATCTACAAACAAGAAAAACATGAGCATCAACACATTGATGAATCAACAAAACATTTCCACAGAGACAAAAAAAAGTCATAGATACTCACTGTTTGCAATTCGCTTCATTGACAGAAAAGATGAACCTGAGAACTTCATCAATATTAACCTTTCCAGTGTGGAGAGACCTGGCTCCTTTGGATGCATTTCTGTACTCCGGGAACTTATCCAAATAATACTCCTTCATGTATAATGGGACTTTGTCCCATTTGACAGGGATCTTGTGAATCCCTAAAACACAATAAATGTCAAGATGAAAACCCAGTAGTAAGCATCAACAATTAACTTACAATAATACTTACAGCCAATCCTTGAGCACTCGAAATTGTTGTAGTATTGTTCTGCTGACGCACGTTCTAATATTTCACCCAAGTATGGTCTCCGCACCACACCTGGGAGTCTAAACCCAGGTCTACACCTACATTGGTATCCTCCTCTTCTAAAGCCCCAACCATGAATAGGTTCACACTAAAAATTAAAGTATGAGTTTAAATTAATAACTTGAAAACTATCATAGACTGAAACAACAATTAGCATCTCAATAAACTCACTTCTGTCGTTTCTTTTTTACATCGAGAGGTATCTGCAAACAAATTTGGACCATTGTTTCCTTGTCCTTTCGGACACTGATTAATGTCTATACGATCAAAGTCCATTTCAATTACAGACACTGCAGTATACCTATGACAAGAAAAAGTAATTAAGTTAATTATGGCATACACAGACACTAAAATGAAAATGTTCATAACAGTTGATTTGTAATGTATCTTACATGGGGTATTCAATGTGACGGAAACCTGTATGTCTTGGGTACAAATCAGCGATAGGGACCACTGCTGCCACAAGCCATTTGTTTGAACGACCACAATCAAAGTAGGGTCGAGTCCATTTGACAGGGCCTGGCTCCTCATATGCACCTGAAAGAATGCAATAAAAATAGCCATGTGAAGTTGATAGTTTTGAGTGAATTTCAAGTCAAAAGAGTAAATATTACAAACCTTGAGGTCCGTGGAAGGTGAAGGTTTCATTAGTATTGTTTGCATATCTTATAGAAACACGGTATGTTGTTTTAGTATCATGGCGCCCAACTACATTGTCGGGTAACCACTTTCGATACCTAAAATCAAATGTTATAAGAGGTTAAAAAATATGTTTGACATCAGAAGATGTAAGAATAAAAAATCAATGTGGACACTGACCATTCGTTGATTCTGTAATACTCTGATGAGTAATCCTGGCTGAGACTGTCACGAGGGAAAGCTCCTAGATCTCTGACAGTAAATGTGTTCCGAGTAGACAAGCGCTCAAGATGAATCGGATCGTTGAAGTCATCCTCCCTGGAAAGGAAAAGAGTTGATGAATCGGGTAGGCAGAAAGTTACATTCAATTTGATACTTTAGGGTTCACAAAATGCAACTTCCTTGAAGACTGACCTGTAAGATCTTGGAGCAAAAAATGGCATTGTTTTATTGAAGAAGCCCCTGTAGGTGGGTGTGTACGATGTGTTCGGAGCAAAGTATATGGCACTAGCGTTGATGTAGGGATTCGCTGACACGTCTGCCACAGTCGACAGGAAGTAATACATCATACCAGGGTCATAAGTGTCGTTGATGGCAGGTCGAATGAACCTTGTCTGCAGGATGTACGAGAAGAAGAAGGCTCTGCTCATGGCCATGTTGTGCAAATGCAGCAAGGCAGTTCTGTTGGGGAACACAGGGTTGATGTTGATCTCCTTGATGTCCGGGATGTGGCTGACGGAGTCCTCGGGCAGGTACAGGTCGCCCAGGTGCTGGATCGGGCAGTTGTCCTTGGTGACGCGGTCCATCTGCGCGCGAACCTCGTCGAACTGGTCCCTGGCCTGCCATTCATACTGGCACAGGATAACGTTGACGCCGAAGGCGAGGATGGCCAAGGAGGTGTACAACAACAGGTGCCACCCCATCTTGGTTGGAGTCGCTCCGTGCGACTGACTGCAGGCCGCTCGGCGGAACCGAAACCGATGCAGTAAACTTGCGGTGCAAACTGCGGCGGTTTGTGGGGCACCCGGATTCGCTTTACTTCAGCAACGAAACATTGCGGGATCCAGAAAAGAAGACGGCACTATCACAACACCCCGCCCGAACCGACCGCCATGACGCCAACGCCTTGTTTTCCAGGCAAGCCGCGTCAAAAGTCAACTCGCCCTCTCACTCGCACTTGTTGTGGGCATCGGGCGGGAAGCAGGTGCGAGAGGGACGGCAAACGCAGCGCGCCTCGTGGGAGTGGCCGCATACTTCGACCCATTCACATTGGAGTTGCTTTACTATGTAGGATGAGAAGTTCAGCGCTACGCTCTACAGTCTCCCGAGCGTGGAGTAGCGACGGCGTAACATCCATCTATCCATCCATCTATCCTTGCCTACCCGTTCTTTTCGACGAGTGTCTCCTTCGAAGTTAACCTTCGGTCATATAGTTTACTCGGGTGCGGCGATGGGGGTGTCGTAGTCCCCCCTTCCCCTTTTTTCCGAAGGCGCCGAAGCCGCCACAAAGTCACCCTTGACCCTGTAAGCTTGGACTGCTGTAAGTAGGCAACTCTTTCGACGCCCCCCTCCGAACCAGTCTCTGGATCCACCCCTGTCAAGAGGGAATTCGATCCAGCCAAGAGTGGCAGGCGCTTTGTTTCAATCCCGAAAGTGACAACATGCTCGTGAACAAGACGAACATCTGAGAATTGGGAATGGGGAGGTAAGTAGGAGACATTGCCAATTATTTTGTTTCATTTAATATGTTAAATTATCACCATGACACTAGTACACACCGTTGTCAACATAATCTTATGAGCACGGACCAACAATTAAGACAAGTATAAGGCACAAAATCGCAAAATAAAACCTATCAATTGGAATTGCACTTTGGAAATTTAATAAATTGAGGCAGCATACAAAGATACAGCACACACAGATTCACATCAATCATAAAATCACTCACTCATAAAATAAGTGCTGCACCAAACACACAGCATTTGTTCATTCTCCCTACACAATACATCTGTTTAACAGTAGCAGTGTTATTACAATAATTATGTTATATAAATTTATTTAACCATTCATTCTTTCCATTCACTCAAGGCGCTCCACTCACTATCAAATTTAAACAGGCACATCAGATTCTTTACAAACACTAGCAGCAGCATTGCACTCGTGTGATAATCTTAAATAGTAACTTACACCTACACATGTTTAAATAAAGGGAAAATTGTCACAAATGCTTTATGGTTCTGATTGCGGTTTTGCAGTGTTGAATAGCTAGACTTCAGTCATCATTATACACAACCCACCTCAATACACCTTGGTAGAACATATCCTTTCAAAGTAACAGTAATAAATAAATTTTTTTGAAGAGCAAAGAGAAAAATATATTCCCATATCTGTCTGTCAGGTACACCAAGATGCTCCTCTCAATGTTAACACTTTCCAAATTCAGAGAAGGGTGAGGAGTTGAGAGAAGCTCAACACTAATAATATTAGTCATAACATAAAATAAGCTTAGTCACAATTTCCTTTAAAAGTGCCAAAAATAGCGGCATTTAAACCATCTAAATTTTTTTCCTCCTCAAATATTACACTCCATAAGTAAGGCATAAATTAATTCTAGAATCAGCTTCAATATGAAGCATGGAAAAAACACTAACACTGAGGAAGAAAACAGAATGTTACGTGGCTGGAGGGCAAACGCTTAGCCACCTCAGCATTAATACTGCTTGGGGATATTAACATTGTCACCATCATGAGTATTACTGTTTTTCTACTCTTGATACAAAACTGCATGTAACACTTTGTGTTCGTCAAGTCTTGAAACATTTATAAACTGATTTAAAAAAAAATAAAAAAAATAACAAGAGTTGTCAACAGTGGAAAAGTTCCTATACAGTACGGACTTGAAAACAATCTCATTATAAGTTCAGACTTTGCATGACTTGTTTCCATTTTTCTTCAATTGGGGCAAATACTGCAATGACGACCAAAGCAGTGGTCACCAAAAGGATAACAACGATGTGAATGCCAAGGAGGCATCGTCTAAATGATGAATGCTGAAAGAGAAGAAAATAAAATATAATGTGCAATTTCTTTGATAAAGTAACATTCCAAGTTAGTTCTTAACATACCGGAGAATCCATACTCCTGTCCATACTGCTACTTGGCATTCTGCTCGAGTTCAAATCCTTCATTGGGAACGAGTTAACACGCTTTCGATTCTCCTTCTCACTCATACAACCGGCAATCTGGAGGAACAAAATTTAAAAGAAATGAAAGAATGAAAAGACAAAAAAATAATTGAACTGTAATACATACAGCTACTCCTAGTCTAATAATTAGCTGCCTCTTATCATACTTACAGAGAGAATAAGATGCATGAAAACATAAAAGGCCACAAAGGCAACTAAGACCCAATCCATCCATTCTGGAAGTTCAGCTTTGCTTTGGGGCACAGCAAAGAAAATAGTAACAACTGGAACAAAAAATATCAAAGATCATAAGGTCATCAACCCCACTTCCTAATGCTTTAGTCGAATAATACAGTCAAAAATCTTACTTGCGAGGATGTGTGCCGAATTGCCTGCCAGCCAGTGGAGCCAGTTGAAAAGGGGCCTTCTGGGAGAAGAGGGTGCAGGCCGCATGGCCGCCCCGATCGGCTGAATGAAGCACAGGACAGTCGTCACCACACCAAGGATTGCGTGAGGGTTGCGAGTGTCAGCTGTCCAGGCGCCAATTTCAAGGAAGATCAACACAAATCCAGCCAAAGTCAGGAGCCAGACCAGAACCATGAAGAAACGATGCCACTGGAAATCAAAGATTCAGTTGATACTCACTCGAGGAGATCATTTCAGAAGTTTGGCATTTTGTGAACACAATACATACCACAAACCACTGGTCTTTGCCGCAAAGTCGACTGCCCACCCAGGTTTGCTTGTAGTACCTGGCCAGCACAATACCAATAGACGCTGCACCAATCCAAGCAGACAACATGAACGCACCGTGGAGCCTCAAATACAGTTTGCTGGCAGCAGAGAAGCCACTGACATCCGCTAAGTTTCGCTGCTCTGCTGATGCAGTGTAGATCCTATCGTGATAACCAACGCTATTCTCTGAAAAATTAAAGCAAGTTGAAGTGAAGATTCTAAAAACACAATATTTTACTACCTTGCCTGCAACCTACCTTTCAAACTGGAGCCAGCAGCCAACAATAAATAGTAGTTCCGAGACGCCAGGTTGAATTCAGTACCTTCCACTGTAGTGACCTCCTCACGAGTGAACTTACAGTAAACAGTGCCATCACTGTAGGAGCTGTTCAATAAATTAATACCATCCTGGTTCTGCATCATAAAGCAAGAAATGGTAAATAAGGGGTCCAGGACTCTCAGCAGATTACATTGGTAGAACCAGACGTTGGACTTACATCAATGCGGGTGTTGCCCTTGCCAACAGCGATGTTCCACGACATGTATGCCTGGACTTTGCCGCCTCCAGCGACACACTCCACGACACTGTCCGAGCCCTGCAACCCAGTCATTTTAACAAATCTTCATTCAATTCACTGGAAATACACACGACAAAAGCCGAACAGACAAAGTCCTCACCATTTTGTTGTCCTCCGAGAGACCCACGGCGACGTAGATGGCCTTCTTGGCCTTCATCTCGAACTCGTAGCGCTGGCCGCGCACCGCCACGGCCACGGCTGCCTCGCAGGACCGCGTCTCCACGCAGCCGGCGGGGGCGCCGAAGCAGCTGCGCACCGAGCCGCAGCCGTCGTACATGGGGTCCTGGACGACAGGGGCCTGCCGTGCAGAGGGCACACTGTCAGAGGACTCCACACCCCACTCGTGCGTTGCTGTCTCCGCACCCCAGTCACCGCCACCGCCAGCGCCTCAACACCTCAGCACCGAGACAACCTCCACGGCCATGGCGGGGCATTCCTGGGTACAGCCCTGTCGGCCGTCGGCCACCGCTTGTCTTCCAGTGCCCAGCCCAATCCAGTCCGAATCGCTTGCGTCACACGTCACATAGCAACCCACTTCCACTCAGGAGGATAACTAAAGCAGAAGATTCCTCCTCGGCTGGAGGTGGGCTTGGCGCCCCGCCAAATGGCTGCAACGCATCGCGGCATCGCGGCGCGTCGCGCAACGGATGGCCGATCACCAAGGCGAGTCGTAACGCCCATTGCCCATTCCGCGGCGCACAGTGGGCCAGAAGACCGGTGGAGGCGGCCCAAACTCCAGACGCGTTTTGAGCTCCAGAGTCGCTAAATGGGACTCGCACCGAGCGTGTGACCCCACCAATGGATTCCTCGTTCGGAGAGCAATCCATTGGTGGGGTCGCACGTTCGGTTCGAGTTCCACCTAGCGACTCTGGAGCTCAAAACGCGCGTCTGGAGTTTTGGCCGCCTCCACCGGTCTTCAGGCCCACTGTGCGGCGTTGCGGGTGCACTGGTGTAGGTACACTCCGCCCAAAAGAGTCATGACTGATTGCACCCACCTGGGGCTCTGGGTCCGGCGAGAAGGGCGTGGGCGTGGTGGTGGTGGGTCGGCGCGAGGTGCGCGCGGGGGTGGCGCTGGGCCCGCCCGCCGCGCCGGGGGCCGCGTTGACGCCGTCCGGCAGCGACGCCGAGCGACGCACCACCTGGACCTGGGGCGACTGCACGCCCACCCAGTACGTGGCGAAGTCCTGCACGAACGTGGCGCTGCAACAGAGGCGCCCAGGTCAGCACTGCCAGTCGTCTCTCTCGTGGGTGCGAGAGAGACAGAGCGGCCAAACGCAGTCCAGCCTGCAGCGTTACGTAACGGTGCATTTTTCGAGCGGCGCGCGCCAAGGCGGAGGCGTTGTGCCTCGGCCCCGCTGCGCGCTGCCTTACAAGGCCAGCTTACTTGAACACGACGGGGCCCTCGAAGTCTTCGGGAGCCTCCCACTCGAACTCCAGGCTGGTCTTGCGCTCCTTGCCGCTGTGGGTCGCGCCACTCTGAAAACCAGACCACAGGTCAGACGGGGAACCCGCCGAAAAATACTTTCGGAAAGTGGCGAAGCACAGTGGGCCAGAAGACCGGTGGAGGCGGCCAAAACTCTAGACGCGTTTTGAGCTCCAGAGTCGCTAAGCAGGACTCGAACCGAATGTGTGACCCCACCAACGGATTCCTCGTTCGGAGAGCAATCCATTGGTGGGGTCACACGTTCGGTTCGAGGCCTGTTTAGCGACTCTCGAGCTCAAAACGCGTCTAGAGTTTTGGCCGCCTCCACCGGTCTTCTGGCCCACTGTGCGAAGTCAGTGCTTACCCTCGCCGCCTTGCCGCAGGCCAGGGCCTTGGCCTTGTCGGGGATGCCGCTGAAGTGGCCGAGCGAGGCACTGCCGTCCTCGAGGAGGCCGCCGGCCGCGGGCCTGGCCACCAGCATGAACCCCGTGAAGCCCACGCCCTGCGGCGACTCCAGCATGACGCGGACGCGGCCCTCCTCCGTGCGCGCGCGCGACGGCGCCACTGCGAACGGCGACCGCCCGTCCTGCGCCGACGAGGGGTGGCCGGGCACCAGCTCGCCGCACGACCCGGTGGGGGCGCCGTTGGGGTAGCCCGCGCAGCCCGCGGCCAGCAGCAGCACCGCCAGCGCCGTCCACGGCGACATCTGGAAAAGGGAGCACAGTGCGGTCAGCAACCTAGTGGTTTTCGTCGCTAGCCCACTCGCAGGCGCAGTCCGCTAGCGCCGCTAGCGTGCGAGAGAGACAGGGCGGCTCGCCGCGGCGGCGGTCTCAGCGACCCGCAACCAAAATTTCTCGTTAATTAGGTGCGGTTGCTTCGGGGAACTCTTCGTTCTCCGCGAGCGGTACCGAGCGAACATAACCGAACGGCGAGGTTGGCTACCCCGCCTCCCAGAGCCGTCGCGTAACAGTGTATCCAAGCAGCCCTATCACTGCCCTTGGCACTTTCTCGACTTCCGGCGTTGGTTTGCTCAAGTCCATGGCGCTGGACGCTGCCGACGCTGAAAGCGCCCGCCAACTCGGCCATAGGCAGACCCGCCGCACACGCGCGTGGAGCGGGCTGCCTAACCCGCCCCTGTCACCCGAATGTCCTGACCGACTCGTCGCCCACCACACTGCCTCGCCCCCCCTCCGCCGTGTTGCATGAGTGGTGTCCGCGCGCTGAAGACCAACATTGACATTTGAATTTCAAAACTAATTGATCGAAGCTATAGGAGTACCGCCGGCGTTTACCGGCGCCTACACGGCGTGGATTTCGTAACCAAGTAGTTTCGACCGCGGGCACTCCGACGTGCAGAAAGAGTCGCGGATGCCGGCGGCAAGACGATCGGCCTGTCTCTCTCGCGCTCATGGGGCGTTCCGTGTCGCGGTGCGAGAGAGAGCACTGTGCGGAATGGAGCTGCTGATGGCTGCACGCGTGGCGCAGTCAACACAAAAGCATGCGGCGATGGCGTCACTTCGACGAGGTCCAGCGCGGAAAACGGAGGCGGGGCGGGGATTCGAAGCCGGGCCGCAGCCGTGACGCACGCGCCGGCAATGCTCCATCCGAACAGAGCTCCGAGACGCAGTGACTCTCGGACTCCAGTCGACAAACTAGCACCTCCCCGCACAGTGGGCCAGAAGCCGGTGGAGGCGGCCAAAACTCTGGACGCGTTTTGAGCTCCAGAGTCGGTAAATGGGACTCGAACCGAACGTGTGACCCCACCAATGGATTGCTCTCCGAACGAGGAATCCATTGCCATTGGTGGGGTCACACGTTCGGTTCGAGTCCTGTTTAGCGACTCTGGAGCTCAAAACGCGTCTAGAGTTTTGGCCGCCTCCACCGGCTTCTGGCCCACTGTGCCCGCCAGTGTCCGAGCCAAGCGTCGGCGGCACGCCACGCAGGGCCAGGATCACGACCAGGGCGTCCACGGCCAGGGCCGGCGCCGCGCCAAGGCCGCCGTCGACGCGTCATGGCGGACAACCCGAACGGCGTGCGACACGGCGTGCGTGCGCGCGCCGAGGCCGGGCGAGGCCGCCCCCGGGGAACGTGATCCATCTATCCAACCATCCGTCCGCCGGGATCGGCCGGGATGCTGCGACGCCACTGCAAACATGTGGAGCAGGAAGCGGCTGGCGGCCACGCCACTGCCAGGCCGGCCCGGCGCCCCACCTGCGGCCGAGCGTGGCGCGGCGAGGCAGTCCTTTCCTTTCACTCGCGGCCCGACCGCGATCGTGGGGCACCGCGCCGATTCAACATTCAGCCGGCCGGGGCGTGGCGTGGCGTGGCGTGGCGGGGCGGGGCGGGGCGGGGCGGGGCGGGGCGGGGCGGGGCGGGGCGGGGCGGGGCGGGGCGGGGCGTGCCGCGGGGTCCACGCAAGGACAGCGCACAATGTGTGTCCCAGAAGACGCTTCCCACGCCGTGCCGCGCCACCGCAGCCTGCGCTGCCGCCGCAGCCGCGCGCGTCTTAAACCGCACGGAACCCGGAAGGCACTGTCATGCCTAGGCAGGCTAAGGCAGGCCGGCCCGACGCAGTCAGCCGAGCCGCGGGTTCGATTCCCCTCGAGGGAAAAAGAGGCAAGTCAAATCAGCCGGCGCGGTCGGGTCGGCCAGTCGGACTGAAATAGAGCTCCGCGAAGTCCAGAATGGTTTCCCCCGACCCACCCCCTCCTCCGCCAGTCAGCTCGTTCTGTCTCCCTCGCACTCACCACGGCGTTGCGAGACTGCGAGAGACAGAGCGACGGGAGCACTGTGGGGAATCAGGCTGGCGAACCAGGCGTTACGCGCATCAAAACGACAAAATTAAACCGCCAGTAAGGCCCACCCACGACCCCGGTGCATTCCAGGTGAACTCGAGACCGAACCATTCTCGAGTGCACACCGAGCTGCTGTTTCTTGCAGAGTGGTGGAATGGCACTCGGGCGGGGCGGGGCGGGGCGCGGAGCGGGCACCGTCCAGGGACGGCCTGGCCGAGTGGTGGGCCTTCGAGCTACCAGTCTAGCGCCGCCGCGCAGCGCGCCGCCAGCGTGGAGTATAGCCCCACGCCAAAAATCCCACAGGTAAAAACAAGCGCATTGAAAAAGCAAAAACAATTCCATTTAAAAAACAAGCTTATTTAAAAAAAATAAAATTGAGCGCATCAAAAAAAAACACACACACAGTTTAGGAAATATATAACTGCACAGCGTTACGAGCTGCTACAATAATTTGGTGCAATCAACCCTCGAGCTAATTTGTTTAATTATGGAAACGAACTGCCAAATAACTAAAGCAGGCGGCGGCTGTTGTGTATCTCCACAACGAAAATGAAAGGTGGCACACGAGAAACAATTTGGCGCCGCATGCCGGTCAACAACAACAACAACAACAACAACAACAACAACAAGCTGAAGTCGCGGAGGCCCTGCTGCTGATAATGTCGGCATGTCGAAACACTTAGAACCTGTTGGGGCCGCCGGGCCGCGCCAGGCCAGGGCAGGCCGCCATCGTCACGCCGTGGATATAGGCGCACCGGGCACCGTGCCCGGGCCAAGCCAGAAAGGCCGGCCACCACACTGCCAAAAGAGGTGCCCTCCAGTAGCAACTATGTCACGGCGAAAATCACAGCAAGCAGCTAGAACGGTGGACCTGAGGGCACCGACAAATAATTGTCACACGGTGAAGTCCGAGGTTTGCCCGCCTCCTTTCTCCACACTTTTCTTCGCCCTTTGGCAGCCGATTGCACCTAAGCTGCTACACTGTGGTTTTCCTTTTCGCCGGGGTCGTTGGCTCTTCCGGCGGAGACACGGAGGAAGAGGAAGACGGCCCGCCAAGGATTTAGCGGCGAATCGACCAAAAATCCGGCCAGCAAAGCCACGGCCCGCCGCGGCGCCGGGTGGGGTTCCGCTCGGCTAAAGGCCTTGTCGACGTGCAGCAACGTCCGCCTGCGTCCGCCCCTCTCTCCGCGTGATTGACGCGAGGCAGTGACCGCGGCGACCATCCGTCACCTGGACACACACACGCGCCACCGCGCGCCACCGCATGTGGATCGCGGGCAAGCCAATCGATGCAAAACCAGAGGCCGCACAGTGGGCCAGAAGACCGGTGGAGGCGGACAAAACTCTGAACGCGTTTTGAGCTCCAGAGTCGCTAAACAGGACTCGGACGGAACGTGTGACCACACCAATGGATTCCTCGTTCGGAGAGCAATCCATTGGTGGGGTCACACGTTCGGTTCGAGTCCCATTAAGCGACTCTGGAGCTCAAAACGCGTCCAGAGTTTTGTCCGCCTCCACCGGTCTTCTGGCCCACTGTGGGCCGCGGCGCGACGGTGAGCGGACGGCGTGCGTGCGGCATGGCCAGGCACGGCGGCACGGCGGGGGCGGCACTGCCCTCGATTCATTTTAGTCCGTCGATAAATAGCTAAACAAGGAGACACACCGACACGCCACGCGCATACACACAAACGCGCGCGCGCAGTGGGTCGCAGGGCCTGCCCCAAGTCGACGCACTTCATGAACTATTCAGGTGCAAACAGTGATTCCGATCGAAAGTGGGTCAAAAACCGCCCTCATCCAAAAGTGGCCTCATTTCGAGTTTCCCGGCGAAAGGTCTACACGGAAGGCCGTCCGGCCCCTCGTATGCTTGCGGTCCCAACGGCAGAGTCGCACAACCGCAACTCCTCACACAAAACACTAAAAATGGAAGAGAAAATCGATAAGCCCCCGCAAGTTCTGGGAGTCGCCTTGGCGCGAGGAAACACAGTGTAGGACAGGACAGTGTATGAATGCCTTTTGCACACGCGCAAGGCGACCGCCGCACCTGATCACGACTCCAGTTCCAGCGCCTCCAGCAAGCCGTCGCTCTGTCTCTCTCGCACCTCTGCGGGACGTCCCACGAGTAGAGAGAGACAGACGGCACTGCTCGGAATCAGCCTGCAGCCTCGTCGACACGGACTTAGGGCAGTACTAGCGGGGGGAGGGGGAGGGGGAAGACGGGGAAGACCGCCACGCCACGCCACGCCACGCCAGCCTCATGGAGCGCGAACAGCGCGAAGCCATTGGAAGAGTCTTCAAGGCTAAAGGGACGATCTGGCGGTGCGGCAGCGCCATCAGGAAAAATAAAGCAATTTAGCGGGAAAACTGCAGGAAGTGTGATAATAGAGCAAACATAATTGTATGCTGCCAAATGGGCCTGGCATTGCGGAACAGCACGGCGTCTTCGGCTGACTAAGAACAACCGTATCCGAAGGACCCGGAAACACAGCAAGCCACAAAACACTGTTATTTTTACAATTTCCCAGCCAGTGCATACATTGGCAACGAAAGGGTCGTCTATTTCGCAAAGCGAGAACACCTCATTCATTTTCCAAATTGTCAGTCGATACTTTTGTTTTTTTTATTTTTCTCGCGGGGAGTTTCTTGTTGTGGAGGTGGCACCACTACACACGCAGAGCACGTCGCGTTGACATACGGCCGCGACTCCAGAGCGCCGTACCGCCGTGCGCTGGCGACGCTGCCAGCGGCCCTGGACAAGCCAAGCCCACCAGCACCAAGCCCGCCGAGCCCGTTCGCAATCGCGGACCGACTATCTCCGCCGCGCCGTTCTCGCCGGAAGCAAAGCACTTGCTTTGTTTGAATGAGGGCATGGAGGTGTCACGGCCAGACCAAAACTTCTTTCAAGAACGTTGACACTTTGCCGTCAAGGTGGTCGTTGTTGCTCCGAGCGTAAATTTGAATTTGGCAGCGTTTCCGTCGCGCGGAGGCCGGCCGGCTGGCGGGCTTCGCTGGAGCCCAACTCCAAAAACTAGGCCCCGGCCCTTTCCATTTAGTACACCGGTCCGGATGGGATTCAACATCGAAGCGGTATGCGGTCTGCAGGGAAGCGGAAGAAGGGGGAAGGGGGAGTGAGAGAGAGAGAGAGAGAGAGGCGAAGGGGAAGGACCAGAGCCTCGCCCTTCCCCGCCGCAATCCCGTTAGGCCACGTGGAGGGGAGCGAAACAAAGTAAGGACGCCGCATGGCTGGCCACACCGCCACCGGCACACCGCGGCACACCAGCACGCCGCGCTCCAAAACAACGTCGCCAAGAGAGTGCAAGTCCCGCCTCAATCCTCCAGCCGGGCCCGGGGGCCCAGCGGCAGCGCGACGCCCCCCACGTCGCGCACCAAGCACTCCGTCTCTCTCGCACTCACGGAGCGCCCCGCGTGGGTGCGAGAGAGACAGACCGTGCCATACATCCCGCTGTAACCAAAAGCACGCCGAGTGTCAGCTCGAGCCGCGCGTAGTGCCGAGTGTGTCAGCTCTTGAGAGGTGCCAGGTCATCGAGCCCATCCGGCCGCGCGGACTGACAGCGGGCGAGCGGACGGACAGACAGACAGACAGACCCGAATGCACACACGCACTTTCTTTCCGGATCGAACCATGCGTGAAGTCCGTAAGAAAGAACCTCGAGGGCGCCGGGCCGGTGGGCCGGTGGGCCGTGGCCTAGGGGCCGGGCGGGGCGGGTCGGGTCGGGTCGGACGTCGGGCCGCGGCGCTAGCGGCTCGCCTGCCGCCGGGCTCTTTAGGCCCGCCCAGTCGCTGCCACCTGGCTCGAGACCCGCAGCAACGCGCAGCCACAGCTCCCATGCCAATGTCCATGGCAATGTCCTCGTACGCAAACGCAGCGCCAAAATTATTCAAATGGCCGCCAACTATGAGAAAGCAGCGTCCCTCACTGCATCACCAAGTTCGGGCTGCGCGGCGCAGTGCGCCAGGCGACCGGTTGGAGGCGGCCAAAATTCTAGACGCGCTATGAGCTCCAGTGTCGCTAAATGGGACTCGAACCGAGCGTGTGGCCCCACCAATGGATTGCTCTCCGAACGAGGAATCCATTGGTGGGGTCACACGCTTGGTTCGAGTCCCATTTGGCGACTCTGGAGCTCAAAACGCGTCCGGGATTTTGACCGCACGCACCCTCGGCTGCTGCGACGACGGTACAGCGCGGGCAGTAGATTGGGTGGGTTAAAACCCTGACTGTACCACAAGGTTGACAGTCACCCCATTCGTACGCGCGCAGCGGAGTGTGGCTCTTCGGAGCCGCACTCTGCGGACTAAGGGCCCCCTGTGTTGCCCATCAACCTCACTAAGTAACAGTGAGAGGCTCATGCTTGACAGAGCCGTTTGTTGAACGTCCATCCTTAAACCTTAAACCTCCGGTCTTCTGGCCCACTGTGGTGCGTTCGCCTCCTGCCGCGCAGCCGAACCTAACCTTACACACCGGTGAGGGGTGAGCAGCGAGCACCCATTCACCAAACAAGACAGACGACACCGGTTCACCTGGTTCACCTCCCCGCCGAGCGGACGGGACGGGGTGCAAGGACGCTCCCACTTTTTTGACCGTTTGGTTTTCTATTCGTTGGTGGCCACAGGCTCCGTTTGGCGCCTCGCCTGTCCCTCCCATCATCGTTTTATGACGGAGCCGGAGCCCGAGCCTGAGGCACGCTTGGGACGGGACGCCACTGGAGAACGCTGGAGACACCTGTCTCGCCGAACGGGGCTTTCTGGCGCTGCAAATCACGACCTTTAATTGCTTTGGCATAATTACGGCCGGCATCGCTCTCCGCGGTCAGTGAGGGGGATGTTTGGACACTCCACGGAGGGAGGGAGGGACTTCCAGTGCCGGTGCCTCAGAACCGAACGACTCCGTGTTCCGTCTCTGTCACCACCTCGCACCCCTTCGGGACGCCCCGTGAGTGCGAGAGAGACAGCGACAGGCGCCCGCACCTGTTGCGGTGTGTGCCCAGCCATGCCCAGCCCGCATGGCCGCGCCGTCGCGCCACTCCTTGCGGTATCGGTAACAACGCGACGGCGACGGCCGTCCAAACCGAGAACGCGCATACATCGTGGCCACCTCGCCTCGGCCCGACTGCTCCAGTTGGCCGGCTGACCAGGCAGGCCGCAAGCCCACGGCACACCGCGCGGCCGCTTGTTGTGAAACCGAAAATGACAGCCCGAGAGCCGCGGTCCGTCCACGGCCTGCAGCGCGCGGCCGGCCTCCAGGGCCTCCTGGGGTCGCCGTAATCACCAGGGCAGAAACACTTACAGTGGCCAGCAGGGAAGCAGACGACGACCGGAGTAATCCACACACCGGTAGACCGGCGCCGAAAAAGTAGGACGCCGTCGGGAATCGATAGCCTCTTCAACTCACTCACACTGACGCACTCTCACTCACACACACGCACGGGGATGGCACGCGGCCGCGGCAGGGCACGCCGACGTGGAGTAGTGGACTAGATCGAACGGACAGCGCGGACGGCGACGGTGTGTCCGCGACTCTCGCCTCGCCTCGACTGAACCCAACCAACTCGACTGCGACTGGCGGCGGCGGCTGGCGGCTGGGCTGAAGACGGCGGCCGGGCAGGGCGATGGGGAGGCCGGCGGGGCGGGGCGGGGCGGGGCGGGCGAGGGGCCGGCCGGAGCTTGGGGCTTGGGCTCGGCTCGGCAGGCTGCGGCGCGGCTGGCTGTGGCTCGCTGGCCTCGGCTGCGTCCGAGTTGCGCCCCAGCGGCGTCGCGACGCCCCGCCCCGCCCCGCGCGCGAGAGGCACGCCGACGCCGACCACGCCGGCCGCCTCGGACGCAGCGCCGCCGCGGCCGCTGGCTTGCCTGGCTTGCCTGGCTTGCCGCGCGTACCTGGACGCGTCCGAGGCACCCGCACGCCCCCGTCCCCCTCCCCCTCCCCGTCGCCAGCATCGCCAGGCGGCGAACTCTTTCGCGAACGCGGCCTCTCGGGGCGCGGCGGCGGTGGCGGCGCGGCGAATGTGATTTGGAAGTACTCGTACACCGGCGCGTACTCCGCACTCGCACCGCCATGGCTGCCTTGCCGCCGCGGCGCGGGACTCGCGTCCTCTGGATGGCCGCGCTCCGGGGGGGGGGGGGGGGGGGGGGGCAGGAAGCTCCGCAGACAGCCGCGTTTTGCCATTATTTTGAACATGCGCGCGAGTTGGGCCCTTATTTTCGAAGCGCCTTCGCGTCTGCGGCACTGCAAGGCCAGTGGCTCGCCGCTCGCACCTGCCGCCTGCGCCTGCTGGCAGGGCCGGCAGCGCTGCATCGCCGAGGAGCTCAAATTGGCCCTGGGCCCGTAGCCTGGGCAAGGCCCTGGGTGGACGGACTCTCCCTCCCAATCGGGCGTCCGTGAAAAACGAAAAACGGAAGGCAGTGTCCCCGCGAGGGTCACGCTCGGCCGAAACCAAAAGCACCCGGCATGACCTGCGCCACTCGCGTGCGACTCGCCGGACTCGCCGAGCACGAGGCCGACAATGTTTGGCAGGAATGACAGTGTGGTGGTCTCGCTGGTTGTTGGGCCAGGTCATGATCGGCCGGCTTCGGCCACTTTTTCGGCCGCGGCTTGTCGCTCTGTCTCTCTCGCACCGTCCCGCAGTGTGTGCGACAGAGACAGAGCGGCGAATCGCTCCCACGCCGGGGATCGGAGGCAGGCGTGACGTCGGTGCACTGCGTGATACAGTGTGTGACGCATCGGGAGGGACGGCGGACGGGGTTTTCTCCAGCCGCCACGGAGGTGGGATGCGTCGGTGACGTCACGGCACTCCGCCACCATGGCGCTGGGGAACTGTTGTGAGCACTCGTCTTTTTTCGGAGCACAGCGATAATCAAGCAGTCGGAAACGCCGGCTGTCGCTCCGCTGCTCCGCTCGTCATCATGCAGGTCGTCGCGCTGGTCGGCCCGGTGACTCACGCCGGGCCGCGGGGTGTTTGAACCGGGTGGCCGGACCGGGCGGCTGCATTGAAAAATGCTCGCTGTGTGGTGCAGAAAAGTGCTCTCGGGTGGAAGAAATCTTGGCAGAAAAATGCTTTTGGGTGGAAGAAATGCTCTTGGCAGAAAAATGCTCTTGGGCGCGGCAGAAATGTTCTTGGCAGAAGAACGCTCCCGGGTGGAAGAAATGCTCCCGAAGTCGACATTTCCACCCGTGGTGGTACTCATTTCTGAGGCCTTACACCATTTTCCACATCCATCCATGCCTCCTTGCACACCTCCTCGCGGTTTTCGGAAAGACCGTCGTGGCCAGAACCCGGGGAGGGACGTCTTTCGGTCTCTCGGTCGGACTGGGACGCTTTTGGGGCTCTGTGATGCCGTCCGCGCCCACGGCGGGAATGTCCACCACAAGTCGCGCTGACGTCACGAGTCACGATGAGAGCCTGGTCAAACATTTGCGTGTGCGCGGCCGCGCCGATGAGCCGGAACGCGTACACACACGCACACACACACACACACACACACACGCCAAATGTCTTCCCCATTTCTTCCCCGACCCCTTCCCCTTCCCCGCCGGCCACTCGGCGCAGTTGACCTTAACATCAACACCGGCCAGTCCGCGCTGCTCCGCGTGTTCCCCGGCGTCATGAAGGAGAGGGAGGTGAGGGCGGGGGCGGAAGGTGACCGCTGTGGTGTCCGTCGGGGTGGGTGGGGCCGTCGGCGGCCGTCGGCCCGTCGGCCCGTCGTCCTGGAGGCTTCTACAGTCGTTTCGTCGCTCCGTCTCTGTCGCACTCACGGCGCGTGCCGGTGTGGCCGGAGGGGTGCGAGAGAGACAGAGCGGCCAAACGACTGCCCGGTAGAGTGCGCGCGGCGACGCGCCATTTGTCGGAAGTCATCATCGTAAGCCCCACTACGACGCGGCCCGACGGCGAAGCGCGAAGCGCGTATAGCCAGGGGGAGGCACGCCCGCAGCGCGCCGGCCACGGCCTTCGCGGCCTTCACGGCCTCCACGACGGCGACGTCCTGCTGGAGGCCAGGGCGTGCCATGGGCGTGCCGCGCCGCTTTGCAGTGCGAGAGAGACGCCGCACGCGCGCTCCTAGTTCGTTTCCTGGGTGTAGCCATGGTGCAACCAGACGAAGGGACACTGGCGGTGATGGAGCAGCAGGCTGATTCGGCGCACCGCTCTCGTCGCTCTGTCTCTCTCGCACTCATGGGGCGTCCCGTAAGGGCGCGAGAGAGACAGCGACAAATGCAGTGACACACAGCAAGGTGCTTCCAATTAGAGGCCCAGGAGTGCCTCGTCAGCGGGCCGTGTGCAGACAGCAGGCGGTGAGGGCACTGTAGGCGCACGGCGCACCGCAAGGCTGTGAGAAAGGCCTGGGCTCGGCTCATCCGACGGGCCTTGGCCGCCGTGGCCTCGCCGGGGCTGCAGGCCAAATAATTTGAAAAAGCGATGACCGCCAAGCAGTCGCCGGGCCGGGCCTCCGAACGCTGCTGATTGTCAACAAAACAACAACGACAGCCACAGTGTCCCACGCGCCCCGCAGCGCCGTGCGCGTAGGCAACCCTTCGGCTGCGTCTGTCGGCCGAGCGCGCCGCCAGCCCGCCAGTACGGCGTGTCGAATGGGTGGTCTACCCGCGCGGCGCGAACGCGCGAACCGGGGGGAGGGGAGGGAGGGGTACCCGGAGAGAGGATGGCGCGAATGCAGAGTTGTGCCACGCATGTGCCCCGCCCCTTCCCGCGGCCCCGCGGCCCCTCGGCCACGCTGGAGGACGACGAGTGGCGCTGCCGTGCTGCCACGCCACGGCGGCCGCGGCCTGACTCGCGACTCGCCGAGGTATTTCCAGTGCTGGCTCCGCGCCTCGCGCCGCGCCTGGCTTTGCCGCCTGCCCGGCCCGGCCCTGCGCGGTCGCTCTGTCTCCCTCGCGCCCTGACGGCGCCCTGACGGCGCGCCCCGCGAGTGCGAGGGAGACGCGGCGGTTCGCCCTGATGGACGTTACTGTGGCCGCGAGCCGCGGAACGCCACACAGACATGCAGCGAGCAGAGCGAGGCAGCGAGGCAGCAGGCAGGGCTGGGCTTTGGCAGCGGGAGGCGACGCGACGCCACGCCGAGAGTCCGCTCCGTTCCTTGCAGTGCAGGGCCGCGGTACCGCCGCGGTACCGCAGTACCACAGTGCAGTGGAATGTCGGGACGCCCTCGCCTCGCCGCGTGGAGTGTCTGCGCGCGACGCGACGGCGGCCCCAGCAGGGCGGGGCCTCTAGCGCCTCCAGGACCTCCAGTCCGGGGCCTCGAGGGGCGCGCCGGCGCGCCGCGACACAGAAATGGGGGTCGCGAACGGTGCGGCGTGCGGAACGGAAAACCAGCGGAAACTAGAAAACAGGAGGCTGCTCATGTGCCCACTGTTTTGGACTGGATCCCTCCCGGGCTCCGGGTCCCGGAGCACGCCGCCGTGCCGCCGTGCCGCGGCCAGGGTGAGAGGGCCGCGGGACGGGACGCGTGGCGCGCGATGGCGGCAATACACCTACCTGCCGGCCTGCCCCTCTCTCCGACAGTCTCCGACAGGTGGCGCGCCTGGTCAGGCAGCGCACAATGGGCGCGACGGGGCGCGGGGCGGGGCGGGGCGGCTGGGGCCCAGCGGATCGTGGCGGGGCGGGGCGGGGCGGGGCGCGGCGGGGCGGGGCGCGGTGACGACGGGGCGCGGCGCGGCAAGGATCGGCGCGAAGCTGAGTTCTCAGCGAATCGAGGTCAGCGAAACACACTGGAACGTGCTTGACTTACCTTCCCGCTCGACTCATTGGCGCTGCCTCCGCCGCCGCGCTGCTCGCGCCGTTGCTGTTATCGTGTCGGCGCGAGCTTGACCAAGGACTCGGGGACGATCCCCGGGCACGCCCTCAAGGGCACGCTCGGCATGGCTGTCGCTCTCTCTCTCTCTCTCTCGCAGCCCTGCGGAACGCGCCGGGAGTGCGAGAGAGAGGGAGCGACGGAAGCGCCAAGTCCGGAATCAGCCTGCAGGATGGACGCGACCAAGCTGTCGGACTTGACGGCGATAAGAAGACCAGGACACCAAGAGGCGGACAACAACTGGGTCCAGATATCAGTCACTTCGCCGGCTTCGCCCGAGGAGCGAAACGACTGTCGCCGCTGCTTTGTTTCCTTTTGTTGAGTTCTGTTTTCTGTCTCCGCTGATGGGATGAACGGCTTCGGGGGACGCGCCCCTGCGGACTGATGCCGAGAGTCGCTTTCGTCGCTCTGTCTCTCTCGCACCCACACAGAACGCCCCACGAGTGCGAGAGAGACAGAGCGACGAAAACGACTCTCGGACTGAGTGTGATGTCTGGCCGGGAAGCGCCGCGCCAGGCTTAGGCAACCCGCATTGCAGACAGCGGACTAAGTGCGACGGTGAGTCTCTGCCAGAAAAAGAGGCAGACGGAATTCGCCACGGTGCCGAGGGCGCCGAGGACGGGGAGCGTCGTGACCTCCTTGTGCGAGGACTGCGAGGACTCGAGGACTCATAGAGGAGTCAACTACCCATGAACCTCGGTAAACCATTTTGGTCGACTTTGGTGCATTTTCTATCAATCCTCTAACACTGCCTCGGCCGCGTTGCTTCAGCAC